AAGTTTAGATTTATATGATTAGACGTAGCTGTGAATCAATGTTTACATTTAAATACACTTCATCACAACTTTCCCTTTGCTTGACGCTCATCAAACTGAAAAGTTTAAAAGAGAGGCAAACATAGTAGAAGAACTATTATAGCCTTATCCATGTAGGAATATTGTGGAGATATGTCAGCAGAGTCAATGGGGAACAGTGTGTGATGGTAGCTGGAATATGCCCGATGTCAAGGTAGCATGTCGTCAACTTGGTTTTAGTAAAACTTTAGGTCCTTGGTACRATGGAAGAGGAACGGGTAAAGTATGGTTGAACGGCATGGGATGTTCAGGCTCRGAGGCCTCACTTGGAAGCTGTTCTCACAATGGATGGGGAMAGGTCTCCTCTTACTGCAATAGCCACGCAGATGATGCTGGTGTCGTGCGCTTTTGTAATGGTGGAAATGAATGTTACAACAAGTGTTTCAAAAGCACTACCGAAGAAACRAGCGCCTTACTATGGTTTGAAAACTACGTGCTTGTCATTTTCAGTATCAAACATATTTTGCAATTTACATAACCTACCCCCAAAAAATAAATAAACCGTGCTCTTACATTCATAGAGTAAGTTTATAAAAGGCAATAGCATATCTGATTGTTTTTCTACTGTTTTGTAGTTTTAGTTTGCTTTGAGTAATTGTTCTTTTCGAAATTTCGTTTTACACTCTTTYATCTGAACCTTCAAAAATGTAAATAATCTGAATTTAAGAAAAACTACTAAGATAGGGTCTTCCATATATGTCTCGGGGTTTTTTTCAACATGTCAATGGGGAAGAGTGCGTCATGATGGCTGGTACATGGAAGAAGCSAAGGTTGCATGTCGCCAGCTTGGTTTCACAAAAGCTCTAGAAACCTGGCGGTATGGACGAGGGGCGGGTAAAGTATGGCTGAATGGCATGGCATGTACAGGTTCAGAATCCTCTCGTCCAAGCTGTTCTAACAGTGGATGGGGAAACGTTGGCTCKGGCTGCAATACTCACCARTATGATGCTGGTGTCATGCATTTGGTTTTATTATGGTTTCAGTATTATTGTTTAAACARCCATGTGGGTCAAAAGTAAGTTGGTATTTATATTATACTAAAGTAATTTAATAATAATGTGTTTATTCGATAACATATCATAGGGTAAACACTGAATTACAGGTTACCTACATTCARTTAATCAGTTAAACAAACATTCATACTAAACTTCACATGCTTCACAGTTACAAAGTTCTTTAATCTCTAATAAAATAGCTTTGTTTTTCCCRTTAAAGGCCTCTAAATCGTTCGTGGACTAAATAACAAATAAACTAGAAGACTAAGAGCGTGGACTCGTGCTTCCCTGTTTTTTGTAATGTTAGAGGCTCTTGGRAAGCCTAACAAACCGGAATTTAGAATATTGGGATCAGGTCCCCAGACAGGCTCAGCTAGTCAATATTTTGCTACTATTATAATCAACAAGCGTTGTTAACATAGTTCTTAGCTAAAATATTATAATTACACCTTCCCCTATATTCCTTATTTATACAAAGGCTCTTCGTTACGTTCAAAYTTTGCGTGCGAGTAATGGTTATCTTGTAGAGTGCATTTTAGTTAGGCTGTTTTTAAACCGTTTATAATAGTAAACAACTTATCTAATCTCAGTAACTCTACGTACATAACTCTCAGCATGACTCTTATATCGCTGCCACTTTCTGTGTTTGATATGATAATCAATTTTTGATGGCTTTGGTCTATTTTTACGAATACGATCGTTGACAAGCTCTTTCAGCTTTCTGATTTAAAAAAAGTCTTTTCAGAACTTAAAATTACAATAAAAAATACTGTTCCTTAAATTCACTTATTTGTTACATGGAGGTAGTCAAGTTTGCTTGTCGCGAAT